ATGTTCCTGCAGCACACTGGTTGTATTGTTGCAATTGAAACAGTATTTCACACACTGTACCTTATTGGTGGTAAGATAAACTTTAGAAACATTTTGAAACTGATGAATTCCTTGCCCTTGTCATACATGTTTTGAATATTTGAGTGAAAACTCCCAAAATTGTAAAGTTAAATAACGGCCAAAATTTTAAAATTAATTTTTAGATTCTATTGATTGCCATGCCTTTTGTCTTTTTGAAATAAAAATCCTAAGGGTCACAATTCTATAAAATTTTTCATTTCTGTAATACTTTACTTTTAATCCTGCTTGAAAAAGAAAATTTCATAGGAAACTAAAGAAGCTTTTTAGGTATTGAATGTAATAATAATCTTATTTGGAAACTCAAACAGCACCTTTATATAAAGCTGTGTACAAAAAATGCAGCATCTATAAAACCATGGTCAGAAGAAATATGTACCAGATCATTAATATAAAATGCAAAATATTAGACTTCAGAAGTGGTCTCCAAAAGTTGGGAGAACTAATAACAGGCTTTCATTGGGAAGGCAGATGTCAGCTGTGGGTGCCTTGAATTGTCAATAATAACATTAAACACAGGGTAGAATATCAGGCTGAGCTCATTCTTTATTCTTCTCTCAAAATCATTAGAGCTAAGACAGTTGTGACATATGTTTTGCTCTGGCTCAGTAAGTGAAGACATGCATAGAAGGTGTATCTGTGTGTTTTGTGTGTGTGCTGAATTGTTCACATCTCAGGTACTGCTCTGGAGAAGCAAATGGAGCATGCTTTGCTGGTGGGTAACTTCAGCCATATCATATGGAGGAAAATAATAAATATTCTCAGTTTATCCTGGACCAGGGTGGTTATCAGCTGTGTCCAGAGGCCCAGGCATTATTTTTCTTTTTACTATAGCTGCATTGCAGAAAAAAATACGTAAATACCAAAATCAAAGATGAAGTACTTTTATGGAATTTAGCGCCTGTATAGCATGGTGTGTTCACTGTGTCCATCTAGGTAAAGAAATTTCCATGTAAGGCTTGTGGAATTCGCTGAGCTGTGGCCATGAGGTAACCTTAGATGCACAGGAGAAGGAAAACTTAAATGTGAAGGGTGATGGTAGATCCTCTGTCTTCTTGCACCCATTTGGAACTGTGTTAGAGGGACTGGTTTTGTTGGGTGGGTGGGGTTTTTTTGGTGGTAGCATTTTTTTACTTTCTTACTTTTTTCCTTTGTTTTTCTTCTAATCTCCATTCAGCAAATAAATTGGCTTCCCCCATATCCTCAAGACAATGGATATTAAATGAGCTGCAAACCCAGTGTTTTTAAACCCATTTATTTTTGTGATTCTTACATGACTTGTTATGTATGATGTCTGTGGAGAAGTTAATTTGAAGTAACCTAAGTTTAAATTTAGAAATTTTGAGTCCTGGGTGGGTTTCAAAGTTCAGTAGGAAATTTCATCTTAAGTTTTGAAGTTATGTGGAGGATGTTTTAACATCAAAACCATATTTTGCAAGCCCACTCCATGATGTGGGCAATGCACAGAGTTTCAACAGGTGAAGAAAACTGAGCTGCTCAAGGAAGAGGTGTTGATTCAACAGATGACTCTTCTCTTAAGGCTTGTCTAAATGTTATTTTGCTTTAGGATACATTTTATTTACAGTGAGAGGGAAGTGTAACTTTCTAGCATAGGTAGGAGATACATGCTACTTGTTAATTTTGTTTTACCCTTTGCTAATACGCTTATTTTAGGCGTATTTACATTAAAAATGTTTAGAACAGGAATTATCATCTAACGTACTTCAGTAACTATGCTGTCAAGTGGTAGTGGCCCTCATCCTTCTCAGACAAGTAAAAACCTACATGTTGGAATACGATCTTAATTATCTGAATGCTTAAGTTAATAAAATATCTGTATTACCCAAAAACATGCTATTACTTAATGCCTGAGTTCAGATTATACATGCATCAATGTCTTGGTTTTTGACAACTTTTAAATGTGTGCTTTATACACTAAATAATCTTCCTGGTTTTGTCAAGGTCTCTGAATTATTTATTGCAGCCTACGTTACCCTCCTACTTATTTGCTAAAAGCAAAGAATTTTATCACTTCAAGATTTTGGATATATCTGGGATAAATGAATTGTATATTAGCAACATTTTTTGAAATTATGGGAAATGTCTAATAACAAAGAGCCACTCTTCTCCAATATTGCTTTTATTCAGTATGTCCTAGAGTTAAATTCAATTATATGCTACTTTTCTTATTGCTAATGTCCTGTGCTTTTGTGAGAATGAAATACTCTTTTACTTCTTAGTTTACTAGTCTGCTGAAGAAGCAGCTTGGCAGCATTGTCTGTGTTTTCCTTCCTCTTACAATATAATGTCAACCTAGCTTTGACCTTTATTTGATGGAACCTAGTTGTAATATACCCTTCTACTTAACAAGCTTTAAAATAGAAATATATGATTGGCAGAACTGCAGGAAATAATTAGTTCCAAGTAGATGAGAAAAGTGAAAGGAATATTTTAAGGAAAAGAAAGTGATTCAGCTGGTTTATGGTGCATATGAAGTTGCCTCAGCTTTTAATTTAACTGTTCAGAGATGGGAATAAATTTAAACCGCTCTACAAAACCATTTTTGAAGGAGTCATTGTAAAAAAGGCTTTCTAAATAACCTAACTGCTTATTGGCTTATTGGAAGCTCAAATGTATTAAATATTAATTAGTTAATTTGCTCTTTCAGACGTACTAATAAAATGTGGCTGGCTGAGTGGAAAAAGTACTACAGGGAAGAGAGCATGTGCACTAGATTTTGCTGAAATCTACCTAGAGAATTATGGGGGTTTTTTAGGTTATAAAAAATATATATACACATTTCCCAAGAAAGAATTCTTCAATCAGTTCTTCAGTCGTTACAGGAGGTGAGATGTGGAATTCTATGTTTTAATTACATGTACAAACCAGGACAAGCTCAGTCACCGTATAGATGAGTTCTCAGGTATGCTATACATAGGGGGAAAGAGAAAGTAAGGAAAAAAAAAGGAAGGAAAGATTGATTAATTGATTGATTTTCCAACATTTTGTCTGTGTCACTTAAAAATCTGTAGATTGTGCATCTGTATTCTGTGAGAAATGAATAAAGAGTGAATCACTCTCCAGCTGCTTGGATTTTTTCATACTCTTAATTTTCCATTCATTTGAATGGCTCTTTACTGATAACACCTTCATGTTTGAAAGGAAGACAACACTGAAGGCAACATTAACAGCCAGCTAAGCTTTCTTCTTCTTCATGAGCATGGATTGGTGAACAGAGATTAGGAGACATTTCACCCATGGTGTCTGCCACAGGCTTTGTACAAGACGTGCTTCACCACAGAGTGATGGTGGCCGTGCTAGCTGTTCTTATGCTCTTATGTAGACTGAAGCAGAGTCTAAAAAGAAAGTGGTTGTGAGTTACATGTAGTCTGGGAGCAATGCATAATTTTTAAAACTGTTGCCATGAACTACTGAGGACTTTTGATAGAGGGCTAGTAGGTTCTAATGCTAGCAAAGAAATGTAAGACAAACTTAATGCCGCTTTGGGCGCATGAAATGTCAAAGATTTTGGTGAAAGCCGATATGATTTTGAAAAGAACTGATTAAATTCATGTTGGTCTAAAACTCGTACTCTCTCTCCTAATTGAGATACCTGTTCAGGTACTACTTGCTCTCTTACCTTTGTATGTCTCATCAGAATGTAATTTTGCCATTTAGTTTTTTGGCCTTCTTTCTTCTTCTTTTCTTCTTTTTGGTTGAGCAGATTGAATCCTCCCTGAAGCATGTTGGAGTAATGCTTTTCCTTTGAGCTGCCTTTAGTACAGGAGATACCTGGTAGCTGGTTCTTCTGCTCAGCATACTGCTGTCATTGATGATTTGAGTCCCATGTCTTCCCAGTCTCCTTTGCTCATTGGTTTCAATTTTTGCAGAATTATGGTTTGCAAGCCAAGGCTCTGTGAGCTTCTTCTCTGTAGGCCATGAAACGAATGGCTTTTGGAAATTATTTTCTTGTGTGAATAGGGTGGCAAAATGAGGGATGATCTCATGTAAATAACTTCAAGTGCTGTATCACACTTGTAACAATGCAAATGTATGAGTTTTGTGTTTCATTGCTGTGAAAGTGACACCTCCGATTGAAACGAACTTTAGAATTTATTAGTTGACAGTTGCTTGTTTTGTTCTAGTGATATCCATAGCATGTTTTCCTCACTATCTAATGCTCAAAATATAATAAACTCCATTACAAGCCGTTACTAATCTGACAAATGCGCATTTTGGACGCTCATACTGATCTGGTGCAATGCGCCAAATATAGAATGAGCAATGTAAAGCTGCTGTTGTATTTCAGATCTTGAAAGGTCAGGGCATGCTGCTGAGGCTTAGCGAAGGGTTTTACTGCCTTTTGTGACTGAGCCATCAAATAACTTGCATGTTTTTGTAGCCATTGTTTATTGGCACATTTTCCAACTGCACCTATTTTTCTCTTTTCTATGACAGAAAAATGAACATTAATTAATGTTTCTTTCAAGGCATCAATATACTGCAGTCAGAGCAAGGAGTTCTCTTAAATGTGTAAATCTTGTTGCTTTGTCATTGAAAGTATTGTGAACAAAATTATCTAAATGACTTCAGAGGAAAGCTATGTGGAGAAGTATAGCTGCCATATAAAAGCTATAATTAGGGAGTATATAAATGATTTTACTTAACTTTAAAGGTATTTAGGTGTGTAATTCTTGTGTGCTTGAATGCATATTATAGGTTTCTAGCTTTCTGTGAACTTTCATTTCATTAAGCCTCTTAAAGCCTGAGAAAAAATGCTTGAAAACCACACATTTGAGAAAAATTTAATAATATGGTAATACTTCTGTGTATTGTAGGATTCTAAATATTGTGTTAGGAAAACTTAGATTGTACAAATAATCCGGCGTTTGATTTTAATGCTGACTTTTGTAACTTTGCAGGGACAGCCTGTTGGAGATTGCGATTTTAATGTTCGACTTGCATGTATAGAGAAGGAGATTATATTTCCACGACATGAAAAGATGAAAAGTGGTCTCATTGACAAAGCACAGGAACCGTTTGGTGTTCGAAACAAACCATTTTTCGACATCTACACTTCTAGAAAGGTAAGCTTGATTTCAGTTGTTTTATGTTGTGGTACTGGAGGAAGTAAAACAGTGGTAGGTATAGGTTTTCCCTCAGCATTTCTGTTGTGTCTTCCAGTGAGTTCCTCTGCTAACCAAATGTTCAACAATTGTTGTGGGCTGATTGGCAGATTGGGATAATCTGAAAAGTGGGTTTGTGTTGTGGTTTTTTGTTTTGGTTTGTTTTGGTTTGGTTTTTTTGTTGTTGTTTTATTACTTATCTCAGGCTTTAAGTAAACAGTTTTTGAAGATATCAATAAATCTGAAGTACCAGGTAAAACTTTAAGGACATGGCAATCTGAGTTTGAGATGATTGTGTTTCAAATGCAGTTCAGTCAACAATTTTTTACCCTAATGTGTTACCACCACCATAAAGGCATCTTTGAGATAAGAATATCTATACACTTTTAGTTTATTGTGATTTTTGGGGTTGGTGTATGGTTTCTTTGGTGTTTTTTGCTTGGATTATTTTTTTTTATTTGGCTGGTTTGAGGTAGGTGTTTTAAGTGCCATTCGTGACTGCCTCTGAAGCCTTCTACATTTTGGAGTTTAGGTTACACATTTTTCTTTTTGTACAATGTACATTTTAGGATATTTTTGTCCTCATTTAAATCAGTCTTACCTACTGAAATATGTTCTTTTTACTACTCCTACAATAGAAATCTTCTTAAGAGGTTTGAAATCTGATCATTGTTTTCAATAAGCAAGGAGTTTTATGTCAATATTTGAGAATTGTTTGTATGCCCTATGATAACTGCAAGGAGTTTTAGGTAGCAGTACCAGTATTGATGTGGAGTTTTATCTAAGGCAATATTGGTAAGCACTTAAGAGAAATAATTATTGGTTCAAATAGATTTCAAATGTTTATTCTGCTCAAAAGTATAGTGTTCATAAACATACATTCTCAAAAGATCAATATATAAACTAAAAATTGTTGTTTCTCTTACCTCAAAATACCTTCTTCATTTCATTACTTGTGTGAACTTGATGAGTATGATTCCTGTAACACTTCCTTAATTAAAAAGGGATTGCGTTTTCATATTCATCATTACTTTGTGAATTTTTCATTGTGTATGGTCAAAATAGACTATAAACAATAGTCCATTCTATTGAAGCCTTGCCCTATTCTGAAAAAGGACTATTTAAAAATTGGTATTGTTTTGCCCAAAGGATCTTTATTCTATTTTTATTCAGTCATCTCTGAAACTATAGCAACAAACACAGTGATGAATACTTCATCAGTATAGCTAAAAAGTGAGCAGACTTCCTCTTGCATCAATGATGAATATCTTGAGAGGGTTTGCCAACTCTGCGTACAGGACAGCAAGGTCTGCAGGGAGACAAGGAATTCCTTCTATCCTCTAAGTCTCTTCATATCCATCAGTCCGTCTGCAGAGACAGGTGCTGCTGAATGGATCCTAAAGGATGACAAGTGGGACGTGCTTAAGTAGATCTTCTCCTTATGTTCAAAAAAATTAGACATTTTTCATTCCTAATAAGAGTTGGATCCTTTCATCTTTAGACAGGATCTAACAGGATCCTTCCTTTCTTGACTATAATGAGCAGCTTTGTGGTGCTTAGTTGCTGTCTGGGGTTAAACCATCACAAGATCCTTAAAGATGCTTTTTTTAAGCCCAGGTTTCTTCCCTACTTTCTTCCCAGTGTATTTCACTGAGAGAAGATGTGGCTTCTTAAGTCACCCCCCAGGCTTGTTCTTTTCAAAGATCAATGGAGGTAGAAGTCTTTGGGCACAGATGAGATGGCTCTGTTATTGCACAAGCATGTTCAAGACTGAAAAAGTGGAAAACCCATACCTCATCAGAATGAATTTCATCAAAACATTTGGAGTATGATTTGGAGATGTTTGGTGGGTTTTTTTTGTTGGTTTTGAGGTTTTTTTGTGGGTTTTATTTTTTGTTTGTTTGTTTGGTTTTTTTCCCCCCAGTGTTACTGTGGTTTGCTTGGGATCAAGGAACCCATCAAGTGTACTTCATCACATACTATTTTTGTTTTGAGAAGCTTTAATTTTTGAAACAAGTTCTCAGGATGCAGTTTGAACCTCACAAAAGAGAATGCTCTAGATCTCTTTTTTACAGCCTCCCTCCATAATTCCTTTCTATGATCTAAGACATTCCATTCCATTCTTTTTATTAAAAATAATGTATCAGATAGATGGTGTGGACTGTAGGAAGATGACTCAAAAGGCCAGGAGCCTCCGTGCTATATTTAATAGCAGAAAAAGTGGCTAAAACTTTCAGTTATACCAGAAAAAAATGAGTGTTTTCCATGTAGATGTGTGTAGACTTTCAGTGAAAAAGTGGAAGTAATTACTTGAAACAGCAGTGAACTTTGTGCTGTGTTATATAATACATCCAATAATGAAAATGTTCTTAGAGTTATGGATTTGGAACTTTAATACCAGAGTAAGGTACTGACTGATTTTTTTCTAATCTTAAAATCAATTTACTGTGAAATGAAATGCACTTTTAAAGTGCAATTATAAAGTATGACAGCATTTGTAGTTGTGTCTTGAGATTTAGTTTTGGATTTTGAAATAAGAGCTGCATCTTTTCACTGTTATTTTAAGATGCTTGGATGGACTTTTATTTTTTGTAAGACTGAGTTTTAGTGGTAAGACAAAAGAAATAGACAATCACTGCGGAGCCGGTTGTGTATTCTCAGAGACTAAAAATGTTGCCTTGTTGAACTCTGATACTGATGAAGAAAGCGGTATCACTACATTTTTTTTCCTCTATAATCAAACACAGATTAGTATTTTAGTGTTAACTGGGAACACATGTATTCTGTGATAGCTTTTTCCTTTTAATGTAACTTCCAGGTTCTCCTAGACATTTTTGAGCAAAGTTAAATTTTTGTTGTTTGTCATTGAACTGGCATGATTGGTCACTTTTTTTTGCATAGCTTGCTTTCTTTTTGGATTTGCATCAGAACTCAGAGATGAGATGGTCAAGTTCCCCCACCCACTGTGTAAGGATTGCAGCAGTCAGTGAACAAAGCTGAGTTTTAGTTAGTGCTTTAAGTGCTTCGTACTCTTAGGCTTTGAACCTTGGCCTTGTGTTTACAGGAATACTAGGCTTTTCAACAAGACACTGTTTTCATTATATTGAACAGGGTGTACAGGTGCATAGAAATAATTCTTGGAAATGGTCCAGCTCTTGGCTTCCCTTACTTAAAACAACTGACAGTTCCCTTGCAAGGCTTTTTTGTGTCGACATTCTCAGTCTGGATATCATCACTAAAGCCCATTGTCTAGTGAAAATTCTGTCTAGCAGGAGTAGGAAAAAAGTTCCTTTCTGTGCAGTCTGTGGTCCCATGGAGAATTGTGCCCATCACTCTCAATGGAACAATAGGGCTAAAGGTTAAACAATGATACAGGTCAAATGAGCAACCTTTTGCAAATGTTAGCACGCTGTATGTCAATGACTTGTCAGTTCTTGGACTATTATCTGGTTTTAAAATGACAGCTTGTCCTAGAGGGGTTAGAGACAAGGTAATCTCTGCTAGAAGATTAAATGGTCTAGGATCTTCTTAAAAGTTTTCAGTCAAATCTGTGAACTGACAGGTGACTTACTTTGTTCTCCTGGTTTATTTGACATTTGGATTTTTATTTTTATGTTTTAAAACTGCTTTTGATGCAGTTAGGAGATGTGGAATGGTCAGAGTTTATACCAATAAAGGCATAGCTTCTGTTGGGATGGTTTCCTTTGGAAAATTAAGCAGCTGAGGACCTCTGATGGTGCAGGAGACTGTGTAAGTGCACACATTGCTGATGATGTATTTTGCAGGCAGCTGAGGCAGCTGTAAACTAGTATTTGCATGAAAGAGTGAAGCCTGATAAAGGGCAGAATATGCAGACATTGCTCATCCGTGTCTGCCAAGAGAGCTGTTAACCAGCACTGACTGAAAATTACAAAGCCCTGTCTTGTATCTCCAAGTTGCCTACAGACAACATGTGGACAAGTTTTGCAGTCATGGGACAGAAGAATTGCATGGCAACAATGGTGGATGCAGGAGTGTCAAATACTCTGTCTGTTTATTGAAGATCTCAAATTCCGCATCTCAGTGGAGAGGGAATATTACCATCTGGAGGTTTTTTATTGCCAAGAAGACTTGTTTCCTCTGTTTTTATTTTTGTTTTGATTTTCTATGCCTTCAGGAGTAGTTTAATAGGCTCACCTTTCCATCCTGCATTTCCTGACCTAGAGTTGGCAGCCATGCTTTGGTGTCTGGCCTACATCATATTTCTCACTCCATCTGTTCCATTCCAGGGTTTTGGCCTATTTATCATCTAATCACCTTTTAATTGTCTTCTAACTCATGTCGTCTCTCTACCATTTTGTTTCTGTTTGTTTTTATTTTTTTATTTCTTATATTTCTTCCTCGTTTTGTCCTGTTCCATTTCCCCAAGAAGGGAGAGTTTAATGCTGTAAAAGCAGTATTGCCTTATTCCACCCTTAGATGCTTTTTTGCTGGTGTAACCTTCACTTAAATCTTCTTTTTGGCATGCTTTTCTTCCTGTAAACATAAATAATCATTGACCTGAAAAACCTAGTAAACAAACAGTGAATAAGAAGCTGCAAAGATGTTACCTTATACTAGAATTTGAAATCTTCACTTGGCAGCTGTCTTATATCCCAACAGGTAGTACTTCAGCCTGATTGTTCAAAGTTATTTTACCACATGAGTTGTAAAGGTAAGTACAGCCAATCAGCCCAAGTGGTAGCTTTATAAATTGTAAGATGAAATAGGCAGCTAAACTGCAGATCTTGAGCTGAATGTAGGTTACTGCCACTTGAAATTCAGTGCTTGAACTGGAGCTATTTCATGCAGCTGGCTGCAGCACTGCAATGATGTGAATACTATTCAGTAAATATAATTTTGGTCAGTGGGAGGTTGAGAGTAGCAGAGGCTTTGTAGACCAGTGCTGGTGGGGTGTCCAGCTGCCTCTGATTGTTCCTTTG